GTACCACTTATTAATTCTTATTAAAAAGTAATTAATATTTTGTTGTTTTTTAAAAATACAGAATATATCATATATCATTAGATATAAATGTATTTTACTTACTTTGTATTCATCTACATATCTAATGGAATATAGCTTGAATAAACCATAAATTGTTTTTTTGTTAAAAATCTATGATGATTTTTCGTAGCAGTGTTATACTCAATAATTTCTAGATATATTTCTACTGCTCCATCTTTAAATTATTTATCAGGACAAAAGACTTTTATAAAAAACCGAAAACCGCTTCGCTTGGAAACAAAATCTTGAAAGCGTATGCGTAATCTTTTTTAACTTGATTAGTAGAGAATATTTTCCTTTTCGCTTTTTAGATGTCACTGTGATAACATTTGACGATATTCTCGTTGAATCAAGTAGAGCTGAGTCAATTCCAAATGGCTATAAGAATCTAACATGGTCGGAGGCCGGCTTTACAAATGCTATTAGCAACACAAAATCTGGCTATCGCAATGGACTCGTTTCCGGACAGTTCGTTGGAATGACGTACGATCGTCAGCCGCTGACCATAACGTCTGATCGGTTGTTTATACTGAAGTTGTTTTGGGCAACGGCTGCTTGGAATGATAACTTAACATTAGCCATCACTGGCTCGTTGACTTTTGTTCTTCTCAACCATTCGATCAATGAGAAGGAATAAATCATTTGCAGTTTAACAGCTCAGGTGGAAAACCACATCCAGCGTTTACGAGTTACAGCGCAACACATGTTGTCTTGGATGATTGGGCTCTCGAATTGTAATCTATTTTTTTGTGTTGCATCATGATTTTGGTTTAGAAGCGGAGATAAATAGTGCGGCTGACCTTATTTGCAAAGAAATAAGAATCGAAGAAAAGGTTGCTGACTATAGTGACCCTATAATTTGAGTATGTTTTCACGAGAAAATTCAAAGTAAAAAGCTCATTAGCGTAGACTTAAAGGTCTAAACGTTAAAGGTTCCTCAAAACTTAAGTTAAGCATGCGTTAATAAATATCAGGTTTTGGGGGCGGGACGATTCCTCCTGTTTGTAAGCATGCATTCAAAGGTGTTATGCGCTACCTTTGCATGTCTATAAACTTGCATTCGGTCTCTCATTATTCATAAAGAGAAACATAAAAGGGCTTTCATTAAACTTGATGGTTATTTCTTGATTTGATTTTCTTATAGAACTTGGTGTAAAATACACGTGATGTGTTTTTCTACGTCAGGGTACAACTGGTAATTCGATTCTTAACTTTTCTTTCTTATCGCGGCCTCCACAAATCCATAAGTCAATATCGTTCATCGTTTGTATTATCCAGTCAGTTTCTCGTTAACTACTCCACTCTATATACCATTCGATAGAAAATTTCACAGTCTACAAAATGACATATAAAATATAGAGAACAAATTGGGTCATGGTGCGAAAACACGAAAAATATATCCTCCGTTTTTTTCCCCATAAGTCTAACAAACTTACAATTTGAAAGAACACGTTATACCTCATTCTGTAGCCCTTTCCATTCTGCATCTTTCTATATACAAACTATGCCTAATCCCTGTCGGTAGAAGAAACTATAATCATTTTTATGTATCACTAAAGGAAAAAAATCGAGATATCTGTAAAGTATTTCTCGTATATATTTACAAAGACGCACTTCTAAAATAATGTGTTAAGCTCATGTTGTAGCCCGTAGAATTCTCCATCGAAAGATGTATGAAGTGGAATGGTTAACGGAAAAGTACAGTATAAACCTGAACAATGTTGACCTACCGGAGTCCTGAGATGCTATCAAGTATTGCCAATATTAGACTACCTAGTTACATTGTTTTCTGAATATTCTATATATCAATTTGTAGACCGTAAAATTCTCTATCGAATGGTATACAAAGTAGAGTGGTTAACGAGGAGATAACTGGATAATACAAATGATGAACGATGTTGACCTATGGATTTGTGGAGGCCGTGACTAGTATTTCAAGTGTTAGGACACCCAGACCCAATTTGTTCTCCATATTACTCTAGATGGAAAAAGTGCATGTTATGTGTCATTCTCAAATCTCTTTATTCAACTTTTTTGACATAAAATTTAGAGAACATGAAATCCGAAGATTTAGTTCCAAGCGAATAAAATTAATACGAATAGAATATAACGCAACTTAAAGAATAATTTATTTAATAACATGTTTGATTGTTTGACTGTGTAAAATATATACGAAATCTTCGGATTTCATGTTCTCTAAATTTTGTGTCATTGGGTATGTTGTGTGTTATATGATATAACACACAACATACCCAATGACACAAAAAAGCTGAGAGAGTAAAACGATCATAGGCCCAAAAAAAAATGGGTACCAGGGATTTTGGCAAATTGAAACAGGGTGCGTAACTGCATCCGCGGCAAAAATTCCACGTCGAGCATTTTTGGCTTTTTGAAAGTGTTTTTTAGACTAACACGATCAGTAGCCCTTACGCTTGATATAACAGAAAGTTATTCGACAAATTCTGTTTGAGAAAACTATACATTTAACTACAATTCCTACCGGTTGTTGAACAATGTCATTATCAAAAGTAGTAACTGCTTTCTGTGAATTTGGTTCGAATGGTTTCTTCCTAGATCGTTTATCATGCGTAATCAGAGTTTTTGTCAGCATCACATTTGTTGACACCTATGTTCATCAATAGTCAAGTGAATTCTCAGTAACAATATCCACGATAAAAAAGATTCATAGTCACAATCACAACATCAGTATTAAATGCAAGTGAGATCCTAGCTTTTGGCTGTTTTGGAAATCTAAATGGCTCTGTAAGAGCTCTACCAAATGTGGCGATCCAAGCAAGGTTTTTTTTACCATCCTTGTCAACCTCAGAGTGTGCATTTCTGGCACGGCAGACGGACATGTAGTTTTGAAAACGTACACAGGTCGACAAAAATTTTTGATATAGCTTTCCGTATGTGTTCATTTTAATGACGCTAATTTCAAAGTTCAAAACCAGACTTTTGTTGATTTTCCAAGAGCTGTATCTCTGGAGAACCTTCGAAAAACCGCTTTTGCACTTTGAAAGCAACACCGTTAGAATCAGCGTAGTCGAAAACCCATAGAAAAAAATTGTCTTAGACTTCGATCTGAGTTTAAAACGGATTTAGAAATGCTAAGTATAAAAGTTCGGTAACAATGTGTTCAGCTCCCTGATTTCATAGAATCTAACGTTTTTCGCTCAAAACCTCTTTCGCTATATAACATTCGATGCAAGCTTTTGCACTGATTACGAATATGGCATTCTTATTCAATTTTGAACGAATCCAGCTTGAGAAATATCGGAAATAGCCTGAAAATCATGGGTTTGTCGATAACCTCCATCTTAGTCCTAAACTGTTTATGCTAATTTATGCTAATCGTGTTAACAGCCAGTGTACAGGGTGTCACAAAACCATTACGCCCCCTCTGCAACTTAAGGTATAAAGGATATCACAAAGTATTATATACCAAATGAAAGCTCATCAAAAATGGAATTAAGGGGTATAACTGATAATCCGTAGGTTGATTATGAGCTATAGAATTAGGGAAGTTTCTATCGAATGCGTCAATTCTGGGTATAGTGATGCTTTCAGTAAAACTCTCATCACTTCATTAGAACAAAAGTCTTTTCCATCGGGTTTGTTTTGTTTTGATCAGAAATGATTGCTCTTCACTACCTAACTGCAAAAACAAAACTCTGATGGTGTTTTCCGTTCTTTTACCTGAGTACATCGTTGAAAATGGGCAGAAATTTTTAAAACATCGTTCTCCAGCACATCACCTGCTTTGAAACTCTTTTTTATAGACCACAAGAAAGAGCATATTCAAAAGTACAAAAAGAATCTGGTGCCCACGTTAGCTACACTTTTTACGGAAATGATACCAAAAGAAAAAAGTTCAAGCCGAAAAAAATACCAAATATAGAAAGTTTTCAGTTTCTCCGCCTTTCGTATAATTTACGTAGTTACCTTGATTGAAGTTCTAAAACTGAAGTTTAGATATTGTTTTGTAGAGTATTTCGTGACGCATCTTTTAAAAAAACACTAATTTTAAGATCCTAAAGGAACACGAGAATAATAGAAAGTACTAAAAGGCTCATTCATTATTGCGCACCCGATAGAAACTCCCATAATTCTATAGCTCATAATTAACCTATGGATTACCAGTTATACTCCTTAATCCCGTTTTCGATGAGCTTTCATTTGGTACATAATACTCTGTGATATCATTTATACTTTAGGTTACAGAGGGGGATGTAATGGTTTTGTGACACCCTGTATAGAAGAACATTTGGCGAAAGTTTCATCAAAATTGGAGTTAGAAGTTTCCACACTGTAAGCACCTCATTAACTCATTCAATCTTCAAAAACGAAAATCGAAAACAGTGAGAAAAAAGAGAAAAATTCGTTTTTCTTCACGTTGAAAGCAGCCCCGAACAAAAAATTGAAAAATTTCCAAGTTCAAAAGCCAAAACCCATTTTCTTCCTACTTCTGGATCTTCTGATATGAAATCCGCATTGTTAGGCGAGATGAAAACTGCCGGCCGTCAATGCAATGCGGGAAACCTACTCTCGTTGCCAGAAGTTTTCTGCGTACGCGAGTTCTCAAGATCACGCGGTACACTTTTCGCAAAAAAAGTTGATTAAAGAAAAAAAGCAACGTTTTTATGAGTCACAAGTAAACAATGTCTTTCGATAAAAGAACGAAGTGTTTTCTTTTTTTGCACAATTCCAATGAAATTTTCATTAAAAAATGGCTTGTTTTTTTTCCTAGCTATTAACCAACAATTACGTGTGTGTGTGTCTGTCGATTTCACTGGAGAAGCATAACTCGTCATACGTCTTGTGTCGCGTTATACTATCTCTGCTTTTAACTCCCGGCTCTTCCACACACACACACACTCGTCTGCCTTCTTTCTACTCAATAGATTACATTACTCAAATAAAAATAAGAAACGAAGAGAAAAGAAAATTATTTATATTAAAATAATTCCATTAAAAATGAATCAACATGGTAACTGTTATAAGGTTAAATCAAGCTTTGAAGAGCTTTATGGCGTGAACAATACCCATTAAAAGCTGTTTGTTCCATTAATGACTAAGACGCTCTTGAAGATCAAATTAAAATTTGAAATACATATCATTCTATTTCTTCTCCGTCTTTACCCAGTATTTTAATGCAAAATTTTTCTCGAAAAAATAATAAACTGGAGAGTAATCGCGCTACGCACAGATTGAGACTTGCCTCTGCTAAAGCAGACTATGATAATGGTATGATATTACATTATCAGTCGAATATCTAAAACATTCAACGTACTTGTATAGAAACACAAGATTCTATATGTTGTGTGCAGGCATGGGCGAGT